CCCTGCCTCCTCCCCTTCTTCCTTCCTTCCTTCTTTTCTCTCTCTCTCTCTCTCTCTCTCTCCTTCCTTCCTACCTTCCTTCCTTCCTTTCTTTTCCCACCCACCCTACCTTTCTAGGCGCCCGTTGTCTCCGTCCACAATGGACTTTGCTCCCTAGTTTGTATATAGTGCAAAAATGCACAGTTAGAATTGCAAACCGTTGTGATTGCTTATTTTCTATTTCAGAATATATTTTATCAGCCCGTGTTCTATGCATTGCCAATATATACTTGAGCTAGCTGGAAACCAATGCCCAGTAGTTTTGTACTTGTTCTATGATAATATACATAGTCTAACTTTAATTTTATTCAACTTTCCAGTAAAAAACAGGATTTAGCACTGCTGTCTCAAGTAACTTTTTAATATACCTGAGTTAGAGTGTGAAAATGTTCCTTATGTAGATTTTAACAGTATACAAAGATGCTTACAGTCTAGGACTGCCAGATCAAATATGAGGTTCCTATACCTTTGTTCAGTATAAGGAAGAAGAATGTCAGCAGAGGCAACTTTTATTGCTGAGTCATCCTATTTCTGCTGAAATTCCCAATTCTGCAGAACTATTAAACATGCATGAACTGTGTCCCATATTTTATCTGGACATACTAAAAACAAATTTCCTTGAACTTACTGGAGCTTGTGCATGCGTGTCTGAGTGCCAGACTGTTGTACCGAGGGAGTTCTTTTTCTAAAGACTGCATTAGAGAAAACCAAGTATCTGTCTGTTAGGGAAAGCACCTCTGACTTTCCCCCTCAAGGGTTAATTTGACTGGTAATGGGCTCTACTCTGCATAGTCCATATCACCTACAAGGCCAGAGTAGGGAAGGTGGTAATTAGCTTCTCATGAGAACCTGTAGTCACTAGATAGGAGGTCAGAGATTGGGATTGGTGAGGTAATTTTCTAGAAGATTCCAGCAAGACTGTATGCTGATTATCATCATTGCCTGATGTTCCTTGACCAAAAAATATAATTGAGCTAAGAACCCGGTGAAAAAAAGCTACCTTGGATTCTGATGGACTAATGGTCTGTATGTCACACTTGAATTGCAATTGCTAGCAATGTAGAGAATGCCTGTGCTAAGGCCTTTTGACTCTTGGACTTAAAGTTTGTGCTATCTAATACAGCTCCTGGAAAAAATGTTAGGTAGTTAAGCTAGTTCTCTTGGTTTCCTGCTATATGATTCTGATATAATGTGTTACTTGTAGTTCGAATCTTTAAGTCTGTTAGAAATCAAATAAATTTCATAAACCCTTTTAAAAATAAAATTTATTGAAGGTCTGGTTACTTTTGTACAACTGCCTTGGGGATTCATGGGGTTCTGCCTTGGATTCCCTGACAGTGTCTGATGCACAACTCATTTTTTTCAGCCCTCGAAATGAATCAAAATGATGAAATCAACAGTGAAGAAGAAACAGAGCAAGAAGACTGCAAGGATATCTACAGTACACAGGTAGAAATGTTTTGTATTGTCTTGTGAAATACAACACTTACTGAGAACCCCAAAAAGAAACAGAGATCTTCCCCCAGCACACATAAGCATAAGTACACATAAGAAGTTGTTGATTTTGCCCATTTGCAGGATGGCACCTGCAGAAGGCCCCGCTCATATTAGCAATGCTGTTGTGGCAGAGTGTAGGGAGAGAGGCTGTCCTGCAGATATGTCATTATGTCTCATAATAGACTTTCTTCAGTACTTGGCACTTGTATTTATTGGGGGGCCTTGTCTGCATGTGTATGTGAATGATGGAGACTAATGATAAATTAACTTCATTGGGTTCATAGTATAGGCACCTGACGGACAGAAATAAATGTCTTATTCTAAGACTTGACTGTAGACAATTAATTGTGTGATATGGGGTTGGATTTACCAAAGGTTCTAAAGGATGCAGAACTTTCCACCAGTCTTTTCTGACCCTGGGAAAGCTGATTTCTAGGGTCATGGGTCCCTCATGGACAAAGACCTATGTGGTCCCAGGGGCTGTGCTAAAGAGAAGGGGGTGAAATTACCCTCTCCTCGTTCTTCCTTCAGTTTCAATGTGCAGATGGAAGAGAGAGGAGAGGGTGATATTTTTTTACTCCTCCCTCACTTGTGCATGTACCCTCCCCTAACCAGTATGTTTATTACTACATATGGGTCCCACCTTATGCAAAATATCATTGGAGCTTTTATTAATAATGAGGGAAAGCTGATTTCTAGGGTCATGGGTCCCTCATGGACAAAGACCTATGTGATCCCAGGGGCTGTGCTAAAGAGAATGGGGCGAAATTACCCTCTCTTCATTCTTCCTTCAGTTTCAATGTGCTGATGGAAGAGAGAGGAGGGCGATCATTTTTTACTCCTCCCTCATTTGTGCATGTACCCTCCCCTAACCAGTATGTTTATTACTACATATGGGTCCCACCTTATGCAAAATTAAGCAAAATATCATTGGCACTTTTATTAATAATGATAGTATTGGAATGTATGGATCACTAAATCTTCACTACAATAACAGGAAACAAGGCATAGCCTGTTATCAGAAAAATATATCACAGGAGCATGCAGGAGACATTTAGAAATCAATATTTCTATACAGCTCCAAACTGTTTTGAGCCAGTGATTCACGGATGCTCCAATATTCACCTTTGGCAGTGACTTCTACAACTAGATCATATGGGTCTACACACCCAGTCAAATACAATATATCAGAAGAGATAACAATATTTTATGTGCTGTGATGGCATTCTGGTTCAGTGGAATAGATATTGTCAAGTAGTGAGGTGATGTGTGAATGCAATGCCACTCAATTTATAATATAGATGCAACTAATGAAGGATTTGAAGAGTTCTAAAAAATAATGAAAGAAGGGTATTTTGGCTATATACAAAAATAAAGCATGGGATTTAAGTTCTTCCTTCTGAGAGTCTTTAAAAAAATATCATGAAGCAAACGCATGTACAGAATGTAATGCTAGAGAATGTATAATCAAACGTGTATAGTTGTGGATCTGGTCTTCTGACTGTATTAATGAACCAGATTGGGAGAATTAGTGAAGATTTAGGTGTCATTTTTTATTTATTATGTAGTTATCCCCATCCTGAAATTAAATTCATTTTTCTTTGTGCTTGCTTGCCCCAGCAGAATTTTTTTTAACTTCTGCATAGATTCACTGAATTTGCATCTGTACATATTCTAGCAGTTTTCTACCAACTAGAGGTGTGGCTTTGGGACAGAGTAGTGAGAAGTAAGATCATTGAGAGAATGCTTTGCTGTTCCTATTGAATGATTTGAAGCCTCCAGAATATGATGTCTGCTTAAATACAAGATATTCTAGAGAAACTCAATGGGAAATGATGATATATTTCAGTGGTAGGTAAACCAAACTTGTTATTACTAAAGAGGTTACTACACAGCAGCTGAAATGACCCATCATTTAGCAGCTTTTCATGTCTAGAATTTTCTCATCACTCTGGTTCCATTTGTTATCATAATTAGTTTATATGAATACTAATTTCAAGGTTTTTTGTTCAAGATCTAGAAACAAAAGAATTCATTAAGCATTCATCTGCTCTAATAAGCAGCATGCTAATAAGATTATATGGGTGGATTATTGAAAACAGTAATGATTTAATTTCAGTGAAACCAGTCAATCAGTTCATCTGGAAGCTGGTCTTGACGTTTCACAAATATTGTAAAGTGTGTCTATCAGTGTCCACTACTGTCTGTTTTGGCTACATGGAGATTGATGAAATGGAACATAAATAATAGTGGAAGGATAAGAGAGAATATATTACAGTATGACTGAAACTGTAAAATCAGAATTATTTTCTACAGGTAAAACCGAGGTGAATGCAGATAGCTGTTTGCCAAGTAGTAATTTACCAGGTCTGCATATAACCACTTAGCAAGCCCATCATCTGTATTATTTTGTCAAGTGGTAAAAAGAATGTTCCCACTCCCCAGCTTCCTTGGATTTTATGACCACTTGAAAAAGTAGGACAGTATTTTTCTATCAAGGCCGGGCAATAGAGATGACAGCATATGCAGACATGCAACAGGGCAAAAAGTACCCCCTGGGCTGCTTCAACTCAGGAAAATGGTTCCGGGGGGGGGGGCACTGGACCCACTCCTTCTCCAGTGCCACAGTGACAGTGCTGATATGAGTTCAGCCCTGTGTACTTGGGGAAGTAAGTTTTCCATAAGTGCAGTGAAGCTGCAAGAAAAGTCATCTGGGTTGGGAGAATCCTGACCTGACTTGTTAAAAGAGTCATCATAGTTTGTCCTGTATTAGTTATGTGTCCAGTTGACTACTTTGCCAAGTGCTGACTTACCATCTGAATAGACCCAGTGATAGAATTAAAAACTCCAAAATATTAAAGGCAGAAATGATTTTTTCCCACTTTGTCTATAGGCAATACACAAAATGGGCCCTGGTATAAAACTAGGGATAATTTCTGAGTTTAACAGTGCAATTCTAAGAACATTTTTCTGGAAGCAAGTCTCACTGAACAGACCTGAGATTCTGAGTAGACCTGTTTAACATTGCTCCTTAAATCTTGTTTAGTAATATTTTGAGTTGAATGTGATGAAAGTGATTTGCCCTCTGTTTCCCCAGGGATCCAATATTTCACCTTCATGCCACTTTTAGCTGATTCATTTACTGGCATTATGGCTTTCCTCTAGGGATATATTTTCCAGGACTCGCTTTACAACTGAAAGTGCACATTCAACACTGGGCTGTGACTACTGCAAAAAGTGCAGTAGTGTGTAATTTTTCTTTTGTGCAATAAGTAAAATGGGCAAAAACTTCTTGAGCTGTTCTGAGTGTGTTTCTGCACAGAACTTTCTTTTTTTAAGGGTAGGGTGGTGATCCATGTAGCCCATACAACAATCACATGTAGCCTTGTGCCCATCCCCCCAACAGTGGGTTTACCAAGGTGGAAATAAATTTCTACCAGGTTAGATTGAAGAGTGAACATGGATGGGCAGGGTGTTGGACTAGATGGTCTGTATGGCCCCTTCCAACTCTATGATTCTATGCTTCTGTGATGATGACTTGACTTTTTCTATAGCTAGTGACTTTCCTGGTTTATCTGGAGCTGATGATTCTGCATGTACTGTAGAGCAATGCATGTAATTAATTTCTTATGTTTGTGAGTCGTTGCTGTCTGAATAATGTGAATAAACATGTTGGGGGAGGGGTAAGTGGAAGTCCCTGCCTTTCAGAAGAGGGTGGAGCCAATGAGCTATTGGTCTGAGCCAGTCTTGTATTTCCATTCATAATAATATTTGTATTCACATGCACTGATACAGAAAGTGAATTTGAAAAATCAAAATAATTGACTGACTTGTTTGATACAAAACTAAGCATTTGTTTTTAAAACTTTTCCAGATAAAATTATATGTCTGAAACATAAGAATTATTTATTATGTATTTGCTTGCCATAATTTGTATTTAACATATAGCAGCTGAAATATTACATGCACACAAAGAAGGGTGGAGTGTGAGAAATACAAGATTGTGCTGTTATTTTTAGGGATGACTCTCTTGCTCTCCATCCTTTTCCAGGGCTGTTCTTGGCTAACTTTCCCATGGATTTCTAACCTCTTGCTACGTTTCTCTTATGTAACAGGAAACAAGTTGACGGGAACAAACATACTGCTCGTATATTAGCTGCACCCATAGTAGCAGTTGATTTAGTTCTGTCTTCATTTTGCTAAGCAGATAGCATAGCATGGAAGAATTATATCAGTAAGAACTTTTTGTGCCTTTTGCAACAAGAAGCAATATTATTTTAGGCATAAAAGTCAGAGTTAGAGGGAACAATGAAAATGAGGAGTTTTTTGTAAAGTTAAACATCCGTGTCATGTCCTGGGATTGTGGATTTAAATATCTATTCACTTTCCCTCCAACTCTGAAGGCAGGAGTTATGTGCAAACTTCAAGAACAAGAGGACATCGGGCGCCTTGAACTGATCCAGAAACTGGCAAAAGAAAACTGCCACCTTCTAGAGGCAGATAAAAAACAGCCAGAGAAGACAGATCAAGTAAGATATTTTTCAGTTTGTCATTTTTTCCCTCAGAGGAGTAAAGTCCAGAAAAAGTTTGGAATAATTAAGTAACTTAGTCATGACAGTACCATTCTGTTGGTTTTGGCGGAACTTAGTTATGACTAAACTTATATTATTTGTATTTGATCCCCCCCCAAAAAAAGAGAGAATTTTAATATAGTTTAAACCTGCAAATACATGAAAACCTGAAGGAGTATCTTTAGTATTCAAATGGCAGCTGTCGTTTAATCACACTGGTATTTCATGGTGCTAAAACTCACATGTGATAATGGATCTCCAGCATCATGTGTGGTTTTAGCCTTTAGGTGTTTTGAACCTAGGCCACAGAAGGGGGTTGAAAGCAAGTAACCTTGACATATGGGTTGATTTGTACTGCTATTCCTTTCATAGAGTTATGGTATGCCAATAAAGGTTATTGGAATTGGAAGTAACCTGTGTCCAGCAACTAGCAAGCAGTCCAGAAGCTAGCAATTTGCTAGAGAACTGATTCCTTATGTTCTTACCTCCCCAAGTTTACTAGGAAGTACAGTTAGCCACAACATTCTGCATCAGCTTCAGTGTTCATATATTCAGGGATGCGCTCTCTCTCTCTCTCTCTCCCCCCCCTAAAGGTTATTGGAATTGGAAGTAACCTGTGTCCTGCAACTATATATTCAGGGATGCGCTCTCTCTCTCCCTCTCCCTCTCTGTGATGATCATAGTGGGGAAGGAAATATTGATCGAAACTCATATGTTTGGTTTAAGGATGACTGATTTTGACCAGAATTTTTTGTTTCCTTTTAAATGTTTATAGAAACAAAAATCACATGGTCTTGCTTGATGAAATGGCATTTTGTTCCTGACAAAGTATACTTAAATGGTAACTGTTGTAAGAAAAAAGTTCCCAGTTGCTTTGCTTAATACCACAGTGTAACTTGCTTTATTCTCTCCGAAACATTTGTTTAATGTTTTGCGTGCTGCAAAATATTTTCCTTGGCAGCATGCTAATTTAGAACTCACAGAAACAGCAGCTGCAAAATTTTTGTTTGCCTGTATGCTGGTATGTAGTATATGTGAGGCGGACAAATATTTTCTTTAATTCGTGATCTGGTCTTGTGGCAACCTGGAAGAATAACTATCTAAGAAGTGTTGTAACCTTTATAAAGTAAACCAAGGGAACCAAATCTTACTTGAGAGTATGATGTTAGTTCATTTAGCAGTACTGTAAATAATTGCCTCTTGAAAATGACTTTTCTTGGAGGTATGTCTGAGGAAACAAGAGACTTAACCAGGGTTGTGTTCCTATATTATAACTGTTCCTTGACTGAGGCACTAACATTTCATATTGTGGTATATTTTTTCTAAGACTTGCAGTTTCATTAACAGGACTGCAGGAGGAGCTTATCAAAGAAGAACTTTGGTAAAGAATCGATAAAGAAGTTCTGTAAACTTTTAGCTAGTATGATGTACTTGTATAACCAGGGTTGGGAGTATTCTGTGCAAGGAATTGAATACCTAACACTGGTAAATTCCTGGCTCTCATTGATAAAGAGGCAACATTATGAGGTGCATAATTATGAGTTACCTGAAGGTTCAGAAATGAGAGAGATTGTGAATGGCTTATGTCATGCGCATCATGTCATTCTTCTAGTAGTCCTGTATTTCTTATCATGAGATAAAATTCCATCCTACTATTGTATTTGTCATTTAATAACACAAGCATCATGAATTCTACTACTGAATTCTATACCTCAAAATGTTTATGATATATATGGAAAATCTGATGTGCGTGTGTTTTCAAATGAGTTGAAGTCACTGTATGGTAACTTCATCATTTAAGTTAACCTGATGTATATGAATGCACCCCCACATGTACATAACTGGTATGTCCGAGAGAGCAGAAATGTACTATGCCAGAGCTAATTATCAGCTATTGCTATAGAAGGGAATATTCAAAACATATTAACTGCCCGACACTGATGTGCTGAAGTTTCCACAAGGCAACTTTAGTACATCAAAAACTAACAAGTTAAGCTTTGGAAGCAAACTAAATTATGCATTGTTAAGTTTTTTGTTGTTCAGTTGCACAGTCGAGTCCGACTCTTCGCGACCCCATGGACCAGATCACGCCAGGCCTTCTGGTCTTCCGCCGTGCTCTGAAGTTTGCTCAACTTCATGTTTGTTGCATCTATGACACTGTCTAACCATCACATCCTTTGCCATCCCCGTCTTCTTTGACCTTCAATCTTTCCCAGCATCAGGGTCTTCTCCAGTGAGTGCTCCCTTCTCATTTGGTGGCCAAAGTATTTGAGCTTCAGTTTCAATATCTGGCCTTCCAGGGAACAGTCAGGGTTGATTTCTTTTAGGATGGACTGATTTGATCTTCTTGCAGTCCAAGGGACTCTCAAGAGTCTTCTCCAGCACCATAGTTCAAAAGAATCTATTCTTCGGCGCTCAGTCTTCCTTATAGTCCAACTCTCGCAGCCATACATGACTACTGGGAATACCATTGCTTTGACCATGCGGACTTTTGTTGGCAGGGTGATGTCTCTACTTTTTATCATGCTGTTGAGGTTCGCCATCGCTTTCCTCCCAAGGAGCAGGCGTCTTTTAATTTCATTGCTGTCACAGTCTGCGGTGATCTGGGATCCCAGGAACGTGAAGTCTGTCACTACTTCCACGACTTCCCCTTCTATTTGCCAAGGAGTGATTGGGCCGGATTCCATGATCTTAGTTTTTTTGATGTTGAGCTTCAAGCCCACTTTTGCGCTCTCCTCTTTTATTTAGAGCAAGAGGCTCTTAAGGTCCTCTTCACTTTCTGCCATTAGAGTGGTATCGTCTGCATATCTGAGGTTGTTGATCTTTCCCCCAGCAATCTTAATTCCTGCTTGTGATTCATCCAGGCCAGCATTTCTCATTATGTACTCTGCATATATATTAAATAAGCAAGGTGACAATATACATCCTTGTCGTACTCCTTTTCCTATGCTAAACCAATCAGTTGTTCCATATCCGGTTCTAACTGTTGCTTCTTGACCCTTATACAGGTTTCTCAAGAGACATGTGAGGTGGTCTGGTACTCCCATCTCTTTAAGGACCTGCCATAGTTTGTTGTGATCCACACAGTCAAAGGCTTTAGCATAGTCAATGAAGCAGAAGTAGATGTTTTTCTGGTACTCTCTTGCTTTCTCCATAATCCAGCGAATGTTGGCAATTTGATCTCTCGTTCCTCTACCTCTTCGAAACCCAGCTTGTACTTCTGGCAGTTCTCTATCAACGTACTGTTGAAGCCTAGCTTGCAGGATCTTGAGCATGACCTTGCTAGCATGTGATATGAGTGCAATTGTGCGATAGTTTGAACATTCCTTGGCATTGCCCTTCTTTGGGATTGGAATGTATACTGATACATTGTTAAGTAGATTGGTGTATATTTGTTTAATTTATGTGACTGAACCTTGTAATAGAATTTGGGCTTCCTTGGCACAGAAGGGCAAGCCTGTTTGGCACAATAAAGAGATAAAAAATAAGGCCAAGGCTGATGGTACCTTAACCTTATTTTTTATCTCCAATGACTGGTGCAGCCCTTTTATTTTCTTCTTGGTACAATAAAGAGCCATGACTGCAAATATTTTATGGGTAAATCCTAAATTCAGTATCAGTGCAAAGCATGCAGAATAGGAATTCAGTTCTAATAATAGTAAAGGATGCTCATATTTGCTTATAATTTTTGTTGTTTTTCATGTGTTACAGATTTTGCCATTTAGCATAAGAATAAGTCTATAAAGATAAGTGGCTTAATATACACATTTTGCTTACTCTACATTCCATATCATAAAGAGTATACTACATTTAAGGCTTGGCTGTGGGCTGGAGGCTGTGTGAAAGTATGCAACTCCAAAAGTAATTTCAAGAAACGTTGTGCCATTCAGATATTACTATGGAGAACATGTTTGTAGGGTATATCCAAGGAAGCAATAAATTAGAACTTAGTTCAAAAGTGCTAAAGATAGCTGTGCGTATCCCTTCTCTAATAACCTTCCACTATTCCTGTTGGAGGGGGAGAATGGGGAAGGACAATCCCATTCATTATTCAGTTATTTGACAATGAGAGAAAGAGAGAGTAACACTTACATCTTGAAATTGGTTGTATTCTCAATGAGGGACAAACTGAGCAGGTTATTGGAGACCTGTGATTGGATTTCCCATCTCTTTAAACTTCTCTTAATGGCAACTGCCTGAAAGCACCAATTGAGGGTCATACTAGATGCTATAGCTAGATGGTATAGTATCTCTGAAGTTGCGCTGGGGACAAAATGCCATTATAGAATTTGTTTTTTAACTTTTATAAATTCTGCAGGGTGGCCAATCCTTCAGAGGACCATTTCTTGGAGAGATGATAGACTCTGCCCCTCCACCCTGTGAAAGAGGGACAGGATCGTCTCAACACTCAAGTCCCCAACAGTATTGACCCCCCCCAGTGTTTTGGAAAATTAAAAACAAACAGTGCTGAATCCCTATGGCGGACTAGGGGATGTGGTATCATCTAATTTGGCTGTGAATCAGCCTCATAGAACTGGGAAAGGAGTTTCTCCCTTGCATTTTTCTGAATATAATCCCCCTCCCAGCTCGTTTTCATTTTTCATCAATGAGGAAGGTCATTGATGAGATACCATGGGGAGATGCCATGGGCCTTCCAACATGGTTTTAAGCAAACTCGGAAGTTTTCTTCAGTGCTGCAAAAATCTCTCTTCTAGCCTACATGGCCTCATTGTTCAGATTTATTATTTTTTTGTGTATGTTTGTGTGCCTGGAAATCATGGTTGACTTCTGGCGAATCCTAGTGGGGCTTGGATGTTTCAGAGAGGGGGGTTGTTATTGCCTGCCTCTGCATCCTAGCCCTGGTATTCCTTGGAGGTCTCCCATCCAAGTACTTGCCAGGGTTGGTCCTGCTTAGCTTCCAAGATCTGATGAAATTGGGCTTGCCTGGGCTATCCAGG